TCACCTCCTGAGTCCTACTCCCCACGCTGTTCCTGATACAGGCCAGGATGCTGGTGGCCTTCTTGGCCACCTGGGCACACTGCTGGCTCCTGTTCAGCCCACAGGCCACCAACACCCCCAGGTCCTTTTCTGCCAGGCAGCTCCAGCCACTCTGCCCCCAGCCTGGAGCGCTGCAGGGGGTTGGTGGGACCCAAGGGCAGGACCTGGCACTTGGCTTTGTTGAACCTCATCCCGTTGGCCTTGGCCCATCCATCCAGCCTGTCCAGGTCCCTCTGTAGAGCCTTTCTACCTTCCAACAGGTCCACACTCCCACCCAACTTGGCGTCATCTGCAAATTTACTGAGGGTGCACTCGATCCCCTTGGCCAGCTCATGGATATAGATATTAGAAAGGACCAGTCCCAGTACCCAGCCCTGTGGGACACCACTCGTGACCAGCCACCAACTGGATTTGACTCCATTCCCCACCACTCTCTGGGCCCGGCCTCCAGCCAGATTTTTACCCAGTGAAGAGTCCTCCCATCCGAGCCATGGGCAGCCAGTTTCTGCAGGAGCATACTGTGGTGTCAAAGGCCTTACAAAAGTCCAGGTAAATAACATCCACAAAATATCACAAATTTACAGTTAAGCCTAGGAAGGAAGAATGATTAAGTAGCCAGTTAAGAAAAAGTGCTGGAGGGAGGGATCAACGTTAGGGGGAAAGTATGAGACTCCCAGTATTGGCCCGTGAAGGACAATTAATTGGCAATTGCAGAGGCCTTTTTGCATCCAGCAAATGTCCTCTGACTTTTATTGTGGCTGATTTTCTTCATGCTAGTGGAAGTTGAGGCACTAAGCTTTACTGTGCACTCTTAAGGTAATTCATTGGTAAAGCACAGGAATAAATTGGAACACAGCTCCTAGGCTGGAACAGCTTTTTTGCTAGTGAAAAGTGTTTTAAAGAAAAAGTAACTCTAAAATGTTTATTTGCCCCTTTATTTTGTGGCGTACCAAGTCCATCTTAGTATCCCATTTAACCTTTCAAACAAATGGTTTGGGTGAATTATGAGAAATCAGCATAACTTCATTGTGTTCGGTTGCTAACCCCATTGGAGTTCGCAGAAATCATTACCTTGTCATGAAGTAGCTTCTGTTGCATCCTGCGCTGCTGCTGCGTGATGTACTTGTGTTTCTTGATGGAAAAAAGAGGGGGTGGAACGATAATAGTGATATTCCTTTTCCTGAAAATAATGTAGCTCCTTCTGAAGGACTTTTTGAGCTTGCAGGGCTCATCTCTGGTGAGATGCTGAGGGTTGCAAATGAGGTGTCTGTCCCCCTTCTCCTGCACCCCTCCTCACCCATTTCCATGGAACTGTGATGCTGAAGAAGTACAAAACCTGTCTTAACTGGACACATGCAGGGGCAAAGAATTTGCTTTTTTTTGGTGTGCTTATCTGGAACTTGAATTATTTCAGAAATTAGGAAGAAGAGGTCTTCTTATGTATTTAAAAAAAAAAAAAGTTGTTTGAAATTTCCTTGTCTTACAAAAAAAAGTTGTTTGAAATTTCCTTGTCTTCATGAAATTCTGTGCATACCACTAATGTGATGTAGGGTGTCCTGCTATGCAGTTGGCAGTTGTTTCCTTGAAGTATCTGTTTTTTTTCCCTTTTTTCCCCTCCCCCTTGGAGCGGGCGGTGGGATTCACCTGCTGCTGTTCCAGCTCAGCTGCTCTCTCAGGTTTCAATCTGCTCCATCGTTTTTTATCTTGCTGCCTAAACTTAATTTCTTGCCTTTTTTGGAGGCGTTTCCCTTACTAAAGGTTTTTTTTCTGTCTTTGGTGCTGTTTGCAAGGACCCTGTCATTTTTCTAACTCGGTTCCAGGTATTTGAATTATTTCAGAGGTGGTTTTATGCCTGAAGGTTCCTTTGATACCTCTCCTTCAAGCCGTGTACGGGGCCTGACAAAGCTCCTCATTTTCTCACTCGGGGAAGCGATGCAAAGCTTCCTGTGGTCTCCATTCTTCCAAAGGCTTTTGTCTGGTTTTAATCCCCGGAAGGTGGGTTTAGGATGTCGCTGGCGAGGCGTTTGTTATCATCATCATCATCATCATCATCTTCCATTTTCCAGGCTACAGAAGCAGAACCGAGACCGCTTCAGGCCCAGGGGATTGCCCTGGAGCCTCGTCCATCTGTTGAGGCTGGCTCTTCAGCGCTGAAGGGATCCATCCCAACGCCATTCTGCCCTGGCCAGACTCATCCCAGAGTGTTGTGGTTTTCCCTCCTCTTGTAGCACTAATTCAGCGTGCCGGTGACTTCCTTTACCTTGGCACAATCTTGCCGTGGTCCTGCCATCACTCAGGCACCACGCCGTGCCCTGATTTTGTGTTGGCAGGCTTAAACCCAGGCCTTCCACCTGCTCTGACATCTTCATTCCTCTCTTGCCAGCGGGAATGCCGTTTGGCACCAGCTGGTTTTGGCACAGAGGTCTAGAGCCGTGGCAGCGCGTGCCCGTTGCTGCAGATGAGGGTGTGGAGGCATACACCCTCTCATACCACATTGCTGCCTGGTTTTTCGGGTAAATGCCAGCAGAAAATAATCTTCCTGGGTTTTGATGCCTCCTGGTTTGAAGGAAAACCGAACCAACTTTCCGTTCAGTAATTTTACATCTCAGCCAGGCCTCTTCTAACTCCCTGAAATTTTCTCGGTGGAGAAAACTGCTCGTTCTCAGAGCGATCAGACCAAGGTCTGTGCTCCGTGCCAAGGGGTGGTGAGCACAGAGGCCCTTATACTGATTGCTGGAACAACCAAGGTCAGACAATTTTGGTATTTGCCCCCTTAGAGGGTCAGAAATGGAAAAGCGTAGAGGGGTTCCCCCTGTGGGGAGGAGGGGACAGGAGAGGTGACCCAAACCTGACCAACAGGGTGTTCCATCCCATCTGCCCCATGCTCAGTGTAAAAGCTGAGGGATCAAAGGGTCAGCTCCCTTTCTTCTATGGCTGACGCCCAAAGAGGACTCTGTTCATCTGCCTTTGATCCCCATCCGTGTGTTCCTGACTCCAGAGCTGGAACCCAGTTCCCATCCGTCGCTGAGTCCAGTCTGGGACTTCCCTAGTGCCTGTCGGTGATGGGACTGTCATCCTGGGAGCTTGATAGGGTTTGGTATATATTATATCTATTTCATTATTTTCTTCTTTTTGATTCTAATATTAAACTTCTTCATTGAAGTAGTTTAGTTCATTCTAAACTTCTACATCTCCTTATCTCTTCCCCTCCTCTCTTTTGGCGGGGGGGGAAAGGGCCATCTGTCAGTCTGGTTTTGGTAAATTTGGCTGAAACGACGACATAATGTTTCTGCAGTGTCTAAGGAGGACCCTGGACTGAATAAGCTGGAAGAGCTCACCTTCATAAATCTATCTTATAGACAGAGCTGACCAAGCTCATTTGACATATCCTTCCATGTGGAACAGTTCTCTCCACACAGTTCAGAGCCTGCCATCTCTGTTCTACCCTTCTTACTGCCCATGGGTGGGAGGCTGTATTTGCAAAGTCCATTGGGGTGCTCGTGGAGAGGTCAAGAGGTACAGAAAGGATCAGGAGACAAAAGCTCCTGTGTGAGGAAAGAGAGCTTAGCTGAGTCCAGGGCTACCAGCTCTAAGTAGTGCTGCTTGAGCAGGAGGGTTGGGCCAGATGTCTTCCAGAGGTCCCTTCCAACCCTAGCCATTCCGTAAAACTGGAGGCTCCCGTGCTCCAGAAGCTGCTCCTCTGTAAATTTAGCCCATGCTGGCGTTGGGAGGAGCCTGGTGCCCTACACCTCAAGTGGAGGGCTTGTTCTGTGTCACACAGTGGTCCATCAGTGGGCCAACTGGAAGAGCGTGGGGTGTGCCAGAGTGCTTGGCCACCGGGGAACCGCCACCAGTTCCCCTTTCTCTATAGGAACAGATGAAACGTGCCTTCCAAGTTGTGTGACAACTGTCCCCTTCTGGTCTTTGCTTTGAGTTGTGTCCCTCTAAGGAAGACACATACCTGGGTTTGATGACAAGTCCGACGATCAGTTTTGGGGTATTAGCTAACTATTTTCTTCATCTATCCCCCAAAACATTTTAGTATAGGATATTTAGGTCGTGGATTATCTTCACTTGCAAGTCTTAGAGCGGTCTTTGTTTTCTATGTTGGCTTCTTCCATGGAACTCTTCTTCTGGAGTAACAGTCTTCACCTCTCACTCCACGTGGTGAGTTGAATCAGACATTACTCTCTTGAGTTGGCAACAGTTTTAATTCTTGGGCTTTTCCCTCCTATCGCCAGCTTTGTGTGGCCTTTGGGACTGCAAATCATAGATTGTGGACCGTTTGTCTAAACGTGAGCTAAAGTGAGTTAAAATATGAGATTTTTATTAAAATAGGATGAAACTCACACGGACTGACTTCTGAGGCCTCTTGGTCCTGCACAAAACACACCGGTTTATATTCGAGATGGCGTAAGGAAACGCGTGCAGGACAAGTGTCAGTGTCACAACCAGGTGTGGCTTTGACAACTCCAAACTTTGCACGGAGGAACACGTTTGTTAGAGATCACTGATAGCTAAATTAAATTAGGCTAATGTGCTCTTTTGAGCATAATTGAAACGATACGACTATTTTGATTGATTTGCCTTTAACTGTCTAGTAACCCCCTCCTATTATGGCACAATCAGAGAGGCCTTCTAAAAACTGTGTTAATTTGAACTATTTTCTATTCTTTTTATAATTTAGACCAGAAGCAAGAAGCACGTTGCTGGGAGACCTCTTCCCCATGGCTTTGCCTGCAAACTGAAGATCCATCTAATGCAAAGGAGTTGTAAAGAATACTGTACCTACCACCCAACTGGAAGCACACCCTGGTCTTGTGGCCTGTTGTTCCTTTGATCTTAAAAGATCGTTCCCTAGTGTAAATTGTAAATATGTGGTTTGTAACAAATTATCTTGTCTTTTGTATCAATAAATATTAAATAATGCAGATCAGTTTTTATTTCTTGGATTTCTAAATCACTTAGGAATTAATTTTCCAGTAGTTGATGCAGTTTTGAAGTGCAGGTAATTGCGTGTGTTTGACTTGTAAATATTTATAAATAATGTGAGTTACCTTGAGTGGCTTCAAGGATGTCACCAACAGTGCAATCTTTCAGCTGTTCTCTTGGAGATGTTGAAACTCCTAAGGGGAGTTTGAAAGAAAAATATTTTTCATAGAATAGCATAATAGAATTGCCTAGGTTGGAGGGGACCTTTCAGATCATCTAGTTGAACCATCAACCCAACTCTGACAAAAACCATCTCCAAACCATGGCTCTAGGTACTATGTCAACCCGTATTTTGAACACCTCCAGGGATGGTGCCTCAACCACTTTCCTGGGCAGCCCATTCCAAGGCTTCATAACCCTTTCCATGTCAATATTTTTCCTAATATCCAACCTGAACCTCCCCTGATGCAACTTGAGGCCGTTTCCTCTTGTCCCATGGCCTGGGACTTGGGAGAAGAGACCGCCCCCCCCTGGTTACACCCTCCTTTCAGGGAGTTGGAGAGAGCCAGAAGGTCTCCCCTCAGCCTCCTTTTCTCCAGGCTGAACACCCCCAGCTCCCTCAGCCTCTCCTCACCAGACTTGTTCTCCAGACCCCTCACCAGCTCCGTTGCCCTTCTCTGGACCCGCTCCAGCCCCTCGATGTCTTTTTTGTGGTGAGGGGCCTAAAACTGGACACAGCCCTCGAGGTGGGGCCTCACCAGTGTCCCATACAGGGCGACCATCGCCTCCTGAGTCCTACTCCCCACGCTGTTCCTGACACAGGCCAGGATGCTGGTGGCCTTCTTGGCCACCTGGGCACACTGCTGGCTCCTGTTCAGCCCACAGGCCACCAACACCCCCAGGGCCTTTTCTGCCAGGCAGCTCCAGCCACTCTGCCCCCAGCCTGGAGCGCTGCAGGGGGTTGGTGGGACCCAAGGGCAGGACCCGGAACTTGGCCTTGTTCAATCTCAGATGCCAACACAGATTAGCTTTAAAAACCCAATGTTCCTAGTTGACAATGGCTTTGGTTTTGGTTCGAATCCATGCTGTTCTTGTCATAATTGTGTGAAACTCCAGGTTGAAATGTTGCAGAATTCCTTTGTTTTTCAGGTAAAGTGTAAACGGAGCTCCGTTCTCCAGCGGTGTCATGATCATTTGGTGCTCTTCAGATTTGGTATGTGATGACTTACACTCTCCTCTGCATTCTCCATAAAATGTTCAAGGTGTTCCCATGTAGCTGGAGATGGTGCTCCCCGAGAGTTACCTATTACAGCAGGTCTCGCGTAGTCATCGGAGTGAAATAAAATGAAAGCACCTCCCATCCCTTCGGGAAAATATGGTCCATTAGTTTTTCATTTGCCAGGAGCATCAGTTTTTAATATTCTTCCCTTTCCCTTTGTCTCCTGGGAATATCAATCTGCATAGATCTATTATTAATTCCACAGCAATGAGCTCATTTGCTCAACAATCTTTACTGTGGGTGGTAGAAGCAGGTCTCCCTAGGAAAGATGTAAAATCCAAATGGGCTCAAGTATCCTGTGTGTAGCACTGGGTGGTTGGTGCTGTGTTTCTTTTTGGTGGTGGTGGTGGTTGGTTGGTTGTTGGTTGGTTTTTTTTTTAAAGTATCTTTGACTCATCTGAACTCACTGTTTTTGTTAGAAGCCACGTGTTGTGGGGTTGTCCAGCATTTAAAACTTGGGAGTCTGGATGAGAATTAAAGCAATTTTGGGACCAAACCAATTTTTGGAGGTGAGAGGATGAGGAAAAAAACCTTCTCCCAAACACCAGCGTACTGTGCTGTGAATGATAGTGTGTTAAGGTATTTAAATGTTGCAGAGAAAGGAATGAGAGGGGTTTTCCATTCCTGGAAGGTTCTGCTGGAAGCTCCATTTATAACATTTGTTCCCATCAACCCTGCTCAAGTATTTTGGCTGTGAGAGCCCTGCTGAGGTGTGGGCTTTTGACCTGCAGTTCTTGTGGTTCTTGAAGGCCTGTCTCAATCCCAGGGAATATTTACCATTAACTGAACCAGAGGAAAATCCAGCCCTAACACTCTGCCAATTAGACTCAGTCATAGCTCCACAAAAGGAGGGCAGTTCCCGTAAAATCCATACAGTGACCCAATATTAGAGTCACAGAATGATATGGGGTTGGAAGGGACCACTGAAGATCATCTAGTCCAACCCCCTGCCAAAGCAGGTTCACCCAGAGCAGGTCCCACAGGGACATGTCCAGGTGGGTTTGGGATGTCTCCAGAGAAGGAGACTCCACCACCTCCCTGGGCAGCCTCTGCCAGGGCTCTGCCACCCCCACAGGAAAGAAGTTCCTCCTCATGTTTAGGTGGAACTTCCTATGTTCAAGTTTGTGCCCATTTCCTCTTGTCCTGTCCCTGGGCACCACTGAAAAGAGAGCAGCCCCATCCTCTTGACACCCTCCCTTGAAGTATTTCTAAGCATTGATCAGATCCCCCCTCAGCCTTCTCTTCTCCAGACTAAAAAGACCCAAGTCCCTCAGCCTCTCCTCATAAGAGAGATGCTCCCTCATCATCTTTGTAGCCCCATTAACTTTCAGGAAGCAAGGAGCTTCTTTCTCTTCCATCTTTGTACTGTTTGTTTTTTTTGGGGGGATGGGGTGGTGTTTTTCCAGTTCCTCCAGTGATTATAGCCGTACAGTTCCCAGTTTGTCCCGTCACTGGAAGGTCTAAAACATTTCAGGAGTTGTAAGGAGTGATAAAGGGAAAGGGGCATAAGCCATAGGGACACAACAGAACCCGAGGCTGAATTTCTCTTGCCTGTAAAAGATTTCAACTTAATTTTTATTTTTTTATCTTAGTGGCTAAAAAAGCAAAGTACTGGTCTTAAAAACTATCCCAGTTGGCTGGCTTTCTTCACTGCACAGCAGGAGGAGGCAGGTTATCCAGGTGGTTATTAAAAGTCACATTTATTCCACACGTTTGGCAGTTGAGGGCTGGTTTTACCAGGCGAGTCTTGCATTTTTTCAGTATCTTGAGTTAAAAGAATCCTCCTCTCCTGTCAGAAGCAACTTGGTCACGCTGGGATGTGGTCTGATGGTGCACAGCTCTAACTGCTTTCTCATGGGATTCAGATACTCCTAAAATAAGACTCTTCATTCCTCTGCAGATAAGCAGTTTAACTTGTTTGTAAAGGATCGTGTGATATTTTTAATTTTTTTCTGTTTAGAACTGGGTATAATCCATACACATGCTTAACTGGAGTTATCAAACCGGTGCCAAATATTTTGCAGCCTAAGGAATTAAGACTCTGAAGTGGAGTTCATGATGTTGGGCAAAGAAAGCCAAAGGACAAGGTGTGGAAAGCTCTCCCTGCTGCCCCTCAAGCTTTCCTGTGCCACAATAACCTTGTCTTTCCAGCTCAGGCTGATCGTATTTAATCTTGTTTTCTTTTTTCTTTTTTTCCTCATGAAGGAAATAAGCATAATATAACTAATCTGTAGGATTTACGGATGGGAGTTCAGCCAGCCCTGAGGATTTGTGGGCCTGAAGCCCTGTGCTGGATGATTTTACATTTATGGCATGAAAAATCAGGCTGCTTTGGGTTACTTGGCTAAATGTTGCAGGAAAATAAAAGGCACTTGGAGCAGCCCTGAGCCAAGGGAGCTCCAGTAGAAGGTAAACCAGTAGTTACTGCCTAGAGTTCCCCCCGCTGCTGGTTGTATTTCCCTCTCCCATTCACACACACTCACACACACAGGGTGGGTGGTGTGAACACTTCTGAATTGGCCAAAATTACTGGTGTGCTGGTTTTTTGGCTGTTGGTGTCTCTTCCCTTCCCTCCTTGGAGGTAAACAGGGAACGCAAGCAATTCGACCAGAACAAATAAGTCAGAAGATTGCACTTGGCTTTCAAAAATACTGTTTTGTTGGGTTTTTTTTTCAGATTAGTTAGGTGGCTCACATCATCTCACTCTGAATGAATGAATGCATGCTGTGTTGCTTTGGCATGGGTTTTTTTTTGCGTGTGTTTGCCTTTTTTTTGGCAGTTCAGCCTCCAAAGAAGCTTCTAGTGGCATGCCCCTCCACCCTAGGCTAGCATAGAGGCTGGCAAAGTGAACACAGGAGCACAAAACCCAGCCAAAATAGACTGAAAATATATTTTGAGTATGTTTTTTTTCCCAGGTTTGAGAGTGCTTCTTGCTCTTCCCCCTTTTCCTATGTACTGAGGCTCCTGAGTGCCAACCCTCTGCAGAGGATGGAAGCCACACATTCCCTTGGCCTGCTCGGTGCTGAGGACGGTGCTGCCCTGAAGGATGGTGTTCCTGTTGGTGCTTTCTATTGATTTTTTTTTTTATTTTTTTTATTTTTAATTAATTGAGGAGTGTTGTCATCTTGTTTATATCCATGGAAACTGCAGCCATGGGTTTGAAGTCCCTGAATTTATAGCTAGGCTGAACTGCTGGCACAATCACTGCCTGCTCTCTACAGGTGTGTTTGCACTTTGAGAGCCTGAGTTTACAGAAGATAGTAAATGGACTCCTTATTTTAGGAAAAATTTTTTCACTGAAAGGGTTCTCAGCCATTGGAATGGGCTGCCCAGGGAGGTGGTTGAGGCCCCATCCCTGGAGGTGTTCAAAAGACGGGTTGATGTAGTGCTGGGAGGTCTGGTTTAGTGATGGTGTTGCTTTTTGTTTGTTGTGTGGGTGTCTATTTTTGTCAGTCAGGTTGACAGTTGGACAAGATGATCTTTAAGGTCCCTTCCAACCTAGAAGATTCTGTGATTCTACTTTATAGCCAAACTGCTGTGGTCTGAGGGATACAAGGGTTAAAATTCAGTGGGTCGCATACAACCGCTTGGAGCTTCTAGCCCAAATATCAGCAAACTTAGTGCCTCTACAGGTGAAATTTGATTTCTTTTATGGCAAACAGTTCAGAGGCACACCTGAATGGGAATATATGTAGGAAAGAACGAATATTTAAGGTAGTG